GCAGAGATCCATTTCGCTTTGTTTTATCACCGGGATTATAGCTTGATTTCTGTGTTCCTAATTTCAGAGACAGAACGAAATCGCTTTTCTCGTGTGGCGTCACGGCGGTGAGACAGAAATCAATCAGTGTACCGGAATTCGACGCTTGTGCTCGTTCTATAGCGCTTCTAAAAACCGTGAGATCACGGCTGTGCAACGTCAACAATGCATAAACTGCAGTTACTTGTACTCGTATTGCATCGTGAGGGAACGACTATGACTGGGTAAACAGGAATAGGGAGAATGGGTGCGTGTGATTTGTTGAAGTTCGAATCAACAAATCAAGCTTCAACGAATGCGATAGTATTGCATTCACTCAACCAGCTATATGAGTTTTCAGACGGTACCTTCCAAGTATGCGATTCGTGTTCTGCCAGTGGTACCTCAGCTAAATTAAAAAAACAAAATCCACGATGAAAAAAAAAAAAAAAAAAGTTTACGGTGACTCGAGCCGTTTCCGCGCCAAATCATGTTTTACGTAAGCGTAATCTTGGGTTCGATGCACGACGAGGGGTCTTCAATCATAAAAATAGTTTGATTACGATTATTGGCAACGCTAGAAATTTGAAAGCCAAGCAGTGAAGACAACGGTGTTCTTATAAATATAATATACATTTTATTTTACACTGTTTGAATACGCTGCCGTTGTTACGTTCTTGAATTATTGGCTAGCTTGTGGCGGACAGGGAAGTCATGCAGGACCATATGATAGGACCTACACTAAACCTGCCGCGCTTCGAAAAATGTTAGTCCAATGCATACAAGCTTGTTCAAGGCGGACGGAGCGTTGCGCATCCGGCAAAGCGCATTCGATCGCTGCCCGCGGCGTTTTTTTTTTTTTTTTTTTTTTTTTTTTTTAGCAGCGAAATAGTTTTTGGTCAAGCAGCAGGCCCCCTCTTCGGCGGGTTAGGCCGGATTAACGGAGGCGTCTCCTAATCCATTCTCCGTGTTGTCCCCTCGGGGGAGGGCGGTAAACAGGTGGGGGAGGGCGGTGAAGGAAGGAAAGGAGGGCAGGAGAGGAGGAAACGCAGAAAAAGTGGAAAGCGCGAACTGTACGGCGGCCTTTAACAACAAATGTAACGCGTTACAGTTACAGTTACTTTGTCATAGCAACTTAGTTCCTTTCAAGATAATTTCCTTCTTTTAATTTAATGGGACACTGACAGGGTATTTATGCTTGCCAAAGTTTTTATTTGTACATGACATATGAGAGCCCAACTGCCCACAAATCAATTCGCGGCTCGAAATTCGTTTTCATTTCACCCGAAAATCCTGCCGACCGAGAACTGGCCGGTTTGAGTCGCGCTCACTCTCTTCTCCGTGGTCACGTGCCGTTTTCTATGGTTTAGACACAACCACCAAAGATAATCAACGTCGTGGGTCATCGAAGGGACACACAGAATATTAAAAATAGAAAAGATGTATCATTCCCATTTGTTTATGGCTTCTAAAAAGCTGGAAATACGGTGATTGGGAATAAAAAATATCACAGCCACGTGCTTGCGCCAACTCTCCCTTCCTCCATATTTCTTCTTCCTCCCCAGTCCAGTTTCCGTTTCGGTTTCGAGCAGTTGCGTTTTTTTACTTTATCAAAAGTATACGTGACGCTGTAAAAACACATGATTGTGTAGCCTTCTGACACTAAAATAAGTAGCCTGGCAAAAAATAAAAACAATATTTTCTTGCGGGGTGTCAGTGTCCCTTTCACTATGAAGACAGCGATGAACACACACGATGACTACTAAATTTGTTCCTAGGTGACGTGACACCGTTTTTTGGCTTTCGGCGGGTTCCTGGAAACTTGGATTCTTTAATTCATTGGATTAAGTACGGTTCATTCATCTGCGCAATTTCGTTTATATCCTCCTCGGAGACCACGTACGATGGTGTGAAGTGCCCGTGCTGTATATTCAATAACGTGGCTCTTGATTCTCGCAGATGATGATGATACCGTGTCTCTAAAAGCTCATAAAACAAAGAATACTACTACATGTACACGGGGCGAGACAAGCAGTGGGAGGATTTCTGGAGCACAAACGAGCACGTACCACGTGACACTAAGCGTCGTACCGCGTTCCACGCGGCGGCGTGTGTTTCCAGAACACCTCCGATTGGATACATTTCGTTTCTTGTGCATTAATAAGACAGGTAGGAAACGCCAGGAAGCCAAGGTGGAGTGGTGTGATTCCATTTTCGAACGCCGAGGCGAGCGAACGTGGCATCATGAGCTCCCGTGGAGCGGTTTCAGCGGCCCTCGCCGGCCGCGGTAACAGGGCTGAAGACAACACCCAGGACTACAACGTCATCCTGCCTCCTTTGCCAACAGGGTTTCTTCATGCGGACGTGAAGGGGCGGCCGTACCGCGTCGAGGACTTTCGCGACGCGTTGATTCGTCTGGCTTTGCTTCCCGAGGTCTTGGCCCTCGGGGCTTACCAGATGAATCACGTGTGGGCAGTAACGTTTAAGAACGACGAAGGCAAAAAGAAAATGCTGACAACGCCGGAGCTGACAGTTAAAGGACGCCGATGCATCGTTATCGACCCCAGCCACCAGGACGTTCGCGTCAAACTTCATTGGCTGCTCTTTAGCTTCGCCGACGGTGATGTTAGAGAGGCCCTGGCGCCGTACGGCAAGGTCATCGAAGTGGCCAGAGAAAAGTGGCGTGTCGACGGCTGCCAGAGCGTCGGCACCATGACGCGCACGGCGGTACTTCGGCTGAAGGCGGGCATCACCTGCGACGACATCCCGCACCAGTTGCGGGTGGGCGGAGAGCTAGCTCTCGTCGTCGTGCCTGGAAGAGCTCCGCTTTGTCTTCGGTGCCAGCAGACGGGGCACATCCGCAAGGAGTGTCGCGTCCCACGATGCAACGTCTGCCGTCGTTTCGGCCACGAGGGCTCTCACTGCGTCCGAACGTATGCGGCGGCTGCTGCGCCTGTGGGGGGCCTGGAGAAATCCGAGCTCCTTATGGACGAAGACGACGCCGAGGAGGCTGCCGCGGGTTCTACAGACAAAAGAAGCCCTGTAGCGAACGCTCTCCCCGCGGCCGGGAACGTGGCGGAGACGAACACGAGTGATGCGTCGCCAAGTGCTGGCGAGACGGAGCACGCTGGGCAGCAGGATATGGTGGCGACGGAAGCGCCTACACCGTCCGGTGTGGAGGGCATCAACTCCAATGAAGTCAACGGGCAGCCGGCAGTCGACGTCCCCATGAACGACGCAGAGAAAAAGGCGAAAAGGACGCGGGAGGAAAACGTCGCAGGCCCCAAGGATTCGGAGCAGGAAGAGCCTCCGTCAAAGGCTCTGGATGCGGCGGTCCACAGTCAATGCGAATGCAACTGTGGACGACAAGGAGACAGTCAAGCCACCCCCGTGATAGCATGCGCCGGAGTTTGACGGGGTCCTCGGAGTCTGTGCAAGCAAAGTGCAGTAGCCAACATCGCGCTTGGCGGAACAGATGGACGCACGACCCGAGGTAAGCACCATGGGGTCCCTCTCCCTCTGAATGGCGGTGACGTTAGAAGCTCCTTTACGTGTTGCCACGATCAACGTCCGTGGGCTTGCGGCGACGAGACGCCGGCAATATCAACTTAACCGACTATTAGCCGAGAACGAGATAGACATCGTGGCCGTGCAGGAAACGAAGATCGAAAGCCTAGAGCAGACGGACCGCATGGTGCAACCGTTTCGAACTCTTTTCAATGTTTGTGTCTCACACGCTGTTGGAACTTCCGGCGGTTGCTGTTTGTTTTTCCGCCGGTCTCTAGGCGTCGTTGAGACGGCCATGGCTTCGTGTGCGTCTGGCCGTTTTGTGTTCTGCGATTTTTCTTTTTCAGGTATAGACTGGCGCGTTATTTGTGTTTATGCTCCGACTAACGAGCGTGAACGTAGACAAACTTTTGAGGGACTGAGTGAGTTCCTTAGGAGTGAAAGAGTTCTTATTTTTCTCGGAGATTTCAATTGCGTCTGCGCACCAGAGGATCGTGCTAATGCAACCCGGGTTCGCGACTTAAGTGCTCTTTATTTGAATGACATTGTCGCTGAAAATGCGTTAGAGGACGTCGCAAACGTCACCGCCAAAAGTAGCGTTCATTTCACGCACTTTCAGGGCCTTAGTCAAGCTCGACTGGACAGGGCTTACGTTTCGCTTAGTCTTGTCCCGCTGTGCGACAACTACTCCGTTCAACCTGTTTCTTTCAGCGATCATGCGTTAGTTATGTTCACCCTCGGTAAAAAATTAAAAAAGGCAAGATGGGAATGGTCGCTTTGGAAAATGAACATTAGCCTCATGAAGGATGACGTTTTTTAATCTAACGTAGATGATTTATTTAGGAAATTTTTCGAAGACGAGAGGACAATGTGGGGTGCTAGGTGGGAGCTTTTCAAAGAAGAGGTAAAAATTAACGCAATTGAAAGGAGCACCAGCCTTAAAGGGGCCCTCCGGAGCGTTCTGCAATGGTCTATTTATGGCGGTAACTCAATCTATGGGTCCTAAGGATCCTAAAAATCGTAAAATTACGGTCATGCGCGGCGGATTTCCCTATTAAAATTGCTATCAAAGTCCCCGGCACGCCCCCCTTTCTGAGATGACCCCGGAAAACGGGAGGGGCATCTCTTTACGCATCAGCCAATGGCAATCGAAGGATTCCAGTGTCACTGCGCGTCACCGACCGCCGACCCGCGGAGGAATCTCTCCAACACGCGGACACGCGCGGACCGTCGTCAAGGGGCCCGGACCAAAGTTGCCCGGACTTTGTGCTCAGCATTCGTCGTTCGTCGCATCGCACGGTCGCGCTATGGACCTTTCGGACCTTACGTCTCTAGAGCTCGAAATCCTGGAACGGACAGCTGACATGGGTGCCATATCCTATGATTCGACCCCGATGCGCGACGTCGACGAACGCAGCGCCGCGGGCACCGACTGTGGCAACGACGAACGGCCGCGCCGCGGTGAAACGAGTACGCAAGAGCTGGAAGACGCACCCGACGATGGAACCGGGCGGCTTGGGAACACGGACTGGTACGTGGTGCGCTCCATTATACCCCGCTTTATTGGGTAATTGATGCGTGTTTTCTGCGAAGGTGTCTATGTGGTTCCTGCGCGCCGATGGAGACCGTCGTCGAGTGCGTCTGCTGCCGCGAATACCCGGCCGTCGCACGGAAGCAGCAGGGCCGGCAGGGCTGCGTAACGGGCCACCCGGACTTCGAGGCCCTGTGCCTCAACCCTGAGGTGTTGAGGTTGGCCTACCTCAACATGCGGCACTACGGGCAGCAAGGGATGGGCGCAAGTGCCAGCGAGTGAGTACGATGTCATGCTTTGCGCGTGAGCAAACTCACCATGTCTCGGTGAGGACCGTGCCCTCGGCAACTACGTTCACTGTCCGATTCACAGCGTACATACGTACTTGTAATAACTTGTTGTTAGGCTAGATGAACGTTTAGCACCATCCTGGGAAGCGGTCGATGAATTGTTTGTGTTGCCGATAGTGAAATTAATCATAACCCCCACTGTCCAGGCGCAATATAGCGCTCCAGGGAGGCTTTCAAGAGACTAAATGAGAAGCAGCCTGCCTAGTTACCACCCAGTCATTTGTTCAATACAGAAACACGAACACTTCCTACTGCTGTCCGACTATAAACTACACAATTCTTATATGTTCTAAACGAACTGTTCTGACGAGACCGCCCTCTTCGAGTGTTACACTTCTTCCCGTTAGGCCAGATCATGGAGAGCTATTTTTCCTTGCATTTGCGGTTATCAGTTTAGATATGTCATTTTCTTGCTCTGTTTAGATGCAATGTTATGCAACAATAGCACTATGAAATATACGACAGTCACATGGCGTCGTCTCTTGTCGAGACGGCCTCGCCTCGTCGAGAGCAATAGAAGGCGACACCTTGGATGTACATATGCTTTGGCGTTGTCCCCATGCCCAATGCTCCCTTACCTCCCTCTTTTTCACCCTTCTCGACCCTCTGACTAGGCAGGCTGGCTCGCTCGCCCCCCCCCCCCCCCCCCCCCCCCCAGCTTCAACTCGTTGATACACTACTGCTCCTACTGGTACAGCATGTCCGTGCTGTACCGGGTGAGCACTGGTGGCCCCAATCAAGCACCGGACTATGGTGTAACTAATAAAGGTTCCCTCTCTCTCTCTTTCTCTGTCTCTCAAGAGAGTAGTGGATATCCCACACGTTTGGCTTTGGCGCAAACGACAAAGATAACGCAGTCCGTGTCAGAAACCCAAGTCTGGCTCGCAGCTTGCTCAAATGGTGTCTCTGAACAGAGCCGAATTAGCGCCTGAAGCCCCTCTACAAGCTCGCAGAGAGCAGGTGGCCGCAAAGGCTTGAAAGTCCTACTTTGTCAACGAGAGGCGAAGATTAACTCGCTCCCGAGATTGTATTCGTCTCATGCAGTTTCCTTGCTTTTCTGTCTTAGCATAACTCAGCAAAGGGTGAAAGCTACTGCCCTTGTGGGCCAGTCTGAGCGACGGAGCTAAGCACGTGCCAAGATTCCACAGGAGGAGTACACTAAGACATTACGTTGTCACATGCATTGTTCTTACACGCCCCGATTGGCTTGCTGATGCCGTAGCTTTTGCATTTTCCCAAGTTCGGAAAAACGAAGAATTACTGTTTCCAGATTCTTTCCTGCTAGCTTCATGGACTGGACCAGCACTATACTACAGAACAACACTTTCGAAGCAACAAATAAATAAGCACGAAGTTATGATATTGACGCAGTAATTCGCAACCGTGTTGGGGAAGGATGCTCCAGTCACTTTGTTTCTCAGAGCTAAGAGTTCAGAAAACTGCATACACCTACTTTATCTTGCATGCATCAATGCCTTGTTGCTATCTTAAAAATGAGCTTAGCTATGCCAGCTAAGCTGATGCTGGGCAATCTTTTTGAGAAGAAACAAACACCAACTGCTTCAAGTGCACTGTCAACGTCGACAGTACAGTTGGCACCTTCAGCTCAGACATCCTCGTCCTTTTACCTGGTCTAGTCTCTGCGTGTGACCTTCAAGCCCATCAAAACAGGGGCCGATATCAAAATGACGAAAATCAAAATGTAAAGGCCAAACATTGAAACGTCGAAAAATAAAATGCCGAACAGCAAAACGCCGAAAGGTGAGAATGCGTACATATCTGATCGCCATATTTGGTACGGTATTGGCAGATGCTAGCTGCACCAGTGTGTTGGAATCATGGAAGTGTCTTCCGCCAAATTAGGAGCATGAAAAATGTGCAAGCTGCGCTCGAAGACGACATCGAGGCAGAAATCAGATTAGAACCTCGCCATCTACCACACAAGAAGCAAAGCATGCGAGAAGAGAGCCTGACAGCCGCTTTGGGCAACTGGGACAAGCTCAACATCCTTAGCTTTCTTTGGGAAATACGCACAAACTATTAGATCATATTCAACAAACAAAGAATTCCTCTGGCAGAACAAATGTGTCTTCCACTTTCTCAATCTAGAACCCTGTAGGTTCGTGTTGAACATAATATTTTGGAATTGTTTGGTCTCTGGTACCGGGTGATTCGGCTAATAGAGATTTCGGCGGTTTGTTCTTTCAGCATTTTTTATTTTTGGCATTTCGATAATGCATCCTTTCAATTTTTGGGTGTCCCAAGCGAGTGCAATGTTCTCTGGTCAAAACAATCAAAAACTTGAGAACGATGACATAGGCACAGATTGCTGTTGAGTCCATGGATGCCACTACGTCTTTCCTCTAGAAGGCAAGTGGAGACATATTCCAACCCTATCGGCAAAAGTCATATTCTTTACTCCAGTATCCAAATTGTCAGAAGGGGCTTTAGACGGTGTTTGCATGCTTTTTGGTCAAGAAACTACACAAAAAGGCAGTCATTGAAGGCTCATTGCTCTGGTTCGTGCACCGTTTACAATGCAATGGCAATGCGAACTAGAAACCTTCCATTCGCCCAGCGATGCAAAGTATCCCCCCTCCCCCCCCCCCCCACACACACACACACACCAGCAATGTAAAACACCCCCCTGAAACAAATTTCTGGCTATGCCACTGCAGGCCATGCACTCCAAAAAATAAAAAAAATTCCTCCTTCCCATACTATAATTGTCAAGGCAGTGCAGCCATATGGGGGGCGTACCATACTGATTTACGATTTATTAGGTAGGTGTGTCGACCTCCTCAACGTAGTCCCCCTGGAGACGAACGCACTGGTTCTGGTAGTGTGGCAGCCTTTCCGTTCCGTTCCGGGACCACTCTTTGGGAGTGCTTCGCACCCACGCCTGGACAGCCGCTTCGAGTTCACCAGTGTCCATGAAATAGGGTCCTCATAGGTGGTTTTTTCATGGTGCTGAATGGCTGATGGTCACTGCGGGCTAGGTTGAGGGAGTACGGTGAATGTAGGGATGGGCATTGTCATGCTGCAAGAGCGTACCTGCCGCCCCTTTCCCTGGCAGCTTCTCGTGAATGGCGCAATCACCTGAGGGTAGCCACATACGGGGCGATGTTGATGGTGGTGGCCGGTTACATGCAGTCAATGAGCATAATGCCCTCCATATTCAGAAAGCCACGCGAGGATGTCTTTGCGGACATTGATGACTCGGAGGCATCTGTCCAGGCGTGGGTGAGACACACTTATAAACAGTGCAGTGATGTGATTGCTGCGCCAATTGCGCCAAACTGCACCAAGGGGCTAACTTTGCTACATCCTGCTACATTTCACCGAAATATGGCTAATCCGTGCCAAGCCTGCGCCAAAGAAGCAATTTTGGTCGCCTTTCAAAAACGAAACGAAACTGAAAACCGTAATTGAGCATGCGTAAGCTAGGTCGCACAAGACGCCACCCGACACAAAGTACCCTGTATTAATCGTCTATTTGGTCTTGCATGATTTTTCCCGACGTCTCGCGTTTCGTGCACTCGTCGTCTAAGGAATCTCGTCTCGCGTCTTTTTTTTTTTTTTTTTTTAGCGGTAGACACGGGCGTGTGCGGACTCTCAGACGTTAGTGTATCGGGTGCCAAACATGCCGTCATGCTGTGAGACAAAACCACGTTTTTGCGCGGCAGGAGTTACTTTTTGAGCTGAAGCGCTCGCGCGACGTTGTGTGTTGCCGTCCCACGTCGCTGCAGATATGGCGCTTACTAAACTGAAACGCATCGACATTCCTGCTCTTGTTTAAATCATACGCTGCTATAAAAATCCCTCTCTAACTCAATGACTGCTTGGCGAAGTTTTGATTACTTAGGTTTTTCCTGGTGGGCTTTCTTTCGAGAGGGACCCCGGTACGTGAAAAATCTGCCGCAAAAGAAAGTTGGTGAAGAGAAGTGAGCTAAAGCAAAGAAGGCAATGTCTGCACGCTGAACCCGCACAGCGTGCTTGTTTGTCTCGAGTTCAGTCGTTGCACGAAGCGCTCCAAGAACTTTTTTGACCTTGATTCGCAGTGTCTTGCATCAATACGCTCAGGTTCTTTTTTTCTGTGTGTTTAGCCTGTACCTCGCCTGCCGGCCTGGCAAGCACAAGTCGCTGGACTGTTTATTGTCGTATGCTGGACAGTTACATTTTGCATACTATTTTGGGAACCATGCAGTTGGCGACGGAGTGCGGAGCGGCATGGTTTCGGTCAAACAGCCGTTGTCTCCGCCCGCGCGACGAAGCACGTGTAACTGCAAGCCTGCCGAAGTGGCCCTTACGTGCATGTGAACATCATTGCAACAAAGGCACCAGCCGGGACGCTTGCAATGCGTTCTTTTACGTTTGCTTACTTTTTTTTTATAAAAATCTGCCACGTCAAGAATTTTGGCGGTGCCAGAAGAGTCCATGTGCGTATGGCAGCTGCCTAATTTGTTGTGCCAAGAGCTGCACAATAGTTTGTGCTCACTTGATTGTCACAAGGGGGGACGCCACGACAACAGCCACACTTGCATCTGCTCGTTTTCTCTGTCGTAACTTTGCCGGCATCTGACAGCATGACACTTTGGCTCCCGTAACATATTTTGTTGCCACTTTGGGACGGCTTTTGGTCCATGGGAGGTATATAGGGCAGTAAACACCCCAGTCAGAGACATGTCAAGGCGTCCTGCCCTCCAATCCTTCCTAGCTTCGATCCCTTAATCCCCAGATCTAGTTGAAAAGCCAAAATCTCAAGGTGGGGTGATAATTATTGGGTGTCTGGGTCTTGATTTACACTATTTTTGGATGCAGATGCCAGACACCCTGAAGCCGATGGATGATCACCTCGACATGTTCCTTGTGGCGCCAGCAACACTTGCACCGCTGGTGTGGCATTCTTTGCACGCTATGCTGGGATAGTTTTTTCGGAGTGCCATGTCTGGACAGCTTATTCAGAAGCAGGCTGTCGTCGTCGAGATCCATGCTTTTTTTTTAACAGATGATGTTGCAGTGCCCACATAGGTGAGTATGACAGAAAAGATTCGAGATTGGAATAGGTCACCAAACAGTATCGCATCATTTTTCGTTAAAATATTTTTCTAACAACACTATTCATTGAAATAAACACTGAAATTCAAAGTTTCTCGTGCAAGAATGGGGAGGCCTGGTGGGGCTCGTATGTATCCCCACTACTCTGATGATAGTAGTGTCACCTCTAAATCAACACAGCATAATGGAAGACATATCGCAGTCTAAAACGGGGAAAAATGTTGATATATGTGTCTTGCAGATGCGTATATGACCAAATAGCAAATGATTGCGGTGCCCTGAGCCCTAAGGTATTCAGGACCAATAAACACATGGGGGTGGTAGCAGCTGTCATGGCAAATGGGAGCTGTCAGAATGACATGTTCGGATATTGACACGGATTGTGTCGGAGAGACATGAAATCACAACTGCTGGAGCCACTCCAGTATTGCATGAGCACTTCAGCTCGTATGTTTACACCAAAACTGTTCTTTGCGAGCTTCATAGAACACTCATGGCCAGGCTGCTATTCTCAAATCCCTAATCACCAGTACCAATGCCAAGCTTCGGCAGTGCCAGCAGCACTTTAGACAATGTTAAATTGGGACGTTCTCTGATGAGTTCACATTCCCTGGCACTTGTGTGCAGGAAACCTTTGCAGTAGGTGTGTGCGAATATTGGTTCAAATTGAATAGTACGTTTGCCATAACCTTTGCGCTGCAAAGGGAAGCCGATGCGACCGGCTCTTTTTGCGCTGTTGATGCTAGAAACGACAGTGCACTATTTGATTCGAACCAATATTTGCACACCACTACTTCACAGGCTTACGAACTGCACTGTTTTGTCCCAAATTAAACAACATCATATGGGGAGCTTTCCCCTGTTCTGGATGAATGGCTCCCATTCCCTCTGGCCAGTGCACATAATTTTGATGTGTCCTTCCCAAACACAGCGATGCAATATTCGTCACCAACACCAACGACAGATATTATCTACAACTATGAACTGGGACCCTGTGAACTTATTTTATGTATCATGACCACGCAACAGATATTCCTTCCTTGTTAATTCCGGTATATAACTGGTTGTTGTGTCGATTGGAGTTGGAGGTGCGTTAGGAGAACCAAGGCCTATAGTTGTTTTTGTTTTTTTTTAAACTCTGGAGCATTTAGAATGAATCTACAGCAGTTCACTTGAATTTGGCTTCCATGTCTAGCCCATCCGACATGGACTGCCAAATAGGGATTCTGCTATGTGATAGCTGGAGTGGACGTAACAGAAAAGCAGAGTATGATTACATGTTTAGAGAAATGAAAACAAGTGTAGAATTTGCCAACAGAGTGATAGGCTTTGCTTCTTACATCCAATCTCTGTCATTGTTCCAGGCACTACAGATTTGCAGCCTACAGGCAGTGTGCCCTGTGGCTGTGGAGCCGCTTGGGAAAGAAGAATAGGCGGCCCCTGCCATCCTGTGTGGTCAAGACAATTAGGGGCAGGTACCCTGCTGACGTGTATGCGGGCTACAGGGATGCAGAATAAATTGCGTTGACCTAGAGACCACGCGACCCCCTTCCCTTGTCTCTTCACCCTCCCTGCATGTGTGTGAAGTCGCTCGTAGCCATGAACGGAATCCTCTAAATCACGTGACCTATTATCTACGATATCACGTGACCATAACTATGATCACATGATCGTAGTCAAACCAAAGCCAGTGCACCTACGTCGCATTCAGTCACACGACGAAGCTGCCTCGGTGGCTCCGAGGCGAGAGTGCCGGCCTACGGATCCCCATGTGGCGGGTTCGAATCCCGGCCGAGGTGCCTGCAATCTGATGGAGGTTTATTGCGGAGAAGGCAGCTTGGTAATCGAGCTTTCGATTGCACGTCAAAAGATCCCCAGGTGGTCGAAATTAATCCTCGGTCCTCCGCTGGGGCGTGCCAGATGCCCGTCGTTGGTTTGGCACGTAAAACCCCCAAATTTGATTTGAGTCGCACGACCGGATTGCTTCATTTTCCTCCTAGAATCCAAAGGCTGTCATCAAAACTACTAGGGCGTGAGAAGTGCTCATTTGGAACACTAACCTAAGCAGTAAAATTTGGCACCCACTAATACCATTTTAAAGTAAAGATAGAAAAAGCACCGATGTCATGTTCGCACTAACAGTGTTGTGCAGTGTACTTCTACTTTCTTCTGGATCTGTTCTTTCAAATGGGGAAACTGCATATAACCTGGAAAAATCTGACTGCATGAAGCTACAAGATGCTTCCCTACATCAGCCGTCTGAGCGTGCCGGTGCGATGAGGCGAAGAAAGGCGAATTGCGATTGCTGCAGTTTTCAGAGGGACGTGGTCGATTGTTCCGAGGGTCTGGATGACGACGTGGCTAACATGACAAACAAATGACGTTCTGCTTGGGTGACTATACTCGGTGACAGGTCAAGAACGAAGTGGAAGCTCCTCCCACACCTTTCCACTTCAGTGCGGCGAACGACGGAGAGGAGGTCGCCTCCTCTCCAGCATTCGCTCTACTAAAGTGGAAAGAGGTGGGAGGAGCTTCCACTTCGTTCTTGACCTGTCACCGACTATAGGCATGCTGTAAATTGTTTTACTTTTTTTATTTAGAATTCATTGCCAACCTACATTTCATTACTGTACTCTCAACATGTGCTCTAGTATAGACTTTTCCAGTCCAAGCCTTCTGCGAAATCCTTTTTTTACTTGGCTGTGGAATGCTTTTTGAGCATGCACAATAGATCCCCTGCATGGAATATTCTATGCCTCCACAGCCCAGTTACCCTGGATTTTTCCTCCCGGTGATAAATAGGATCTGCTTATATATTTCAGTGAATACTACGATTGTTAGTTTATATTGTCGTTATAATTGGCAAGTATACCCTCACATCATGCAAATACTTTGAGGCAATGGCACAATTTCGGTCGGGTTTTTAGTTAGGCATAGTGCAGTATTCTAGTTACATCGACCCATGTATTGACCTCACAATGCAGAAATCATCCAGGGGATCACAAAATTAGTACTACCATCGGCATCACTTGTTTTCAATTATGAAATTATGTCCTTTTGGTCATGCAAATTTCTACACCTTCCAGGTTCTGGTACCGAGAAGTCAAGTTGTTGGAAAATTAATGCAGTTTATTTCAATCGTAAGGTTAGCAAATGTGCCTTACTTATTTGCAAGCAGGTCAATAATGACAGAAAACAAATGTTGCAGACGGGGGGGAAAACCGTGGTGTAGACTGGAAAATGCAGCAGTTTTTAAATTGCCATAAAAAACTTCTGTTAATATTTTCAGTGTTATATGCAACCACCCCACTTATGTTATTGCTGCATTACCAGCCTACCTCCTGGATGAAAACCCTATTTATTGGAAACACGGGCGGGCTGCCCCGCCTCGGTGCAGTCTCCACAGCACGTGCGCTCATCAGCCCATGAAAAGAAAGATGGATAAGGCATTGTGTTACAGTCTTCAGAAAAGTGTCGGTTGGGTTCCGAAAATGCTTCAATTTTCTAAAACTGCTGCGATGGGCTAAGCTTGTGAACTGGGGATGGGATCTCTGGTGCAGAACTACATGCTATTCAAAATAGCACTTGATCCGCCTTCATTGTGGTGTGCCCACAATGAATATGACAATACGGTCACCGATTTCCTCGATCTTGAAAGCTTGCACAAATTATAGCTAGGATCCTGCGTTCTTGAATTTAATTTTTTTAGCAAAATTAGAGGGTGTTTTTTTTTTTTTTTTGAACCATCAATTTGGAGCTTCCATTTATGTACGCAAAGTTCGGAGTCTTTCGGCATTTTCGATGAGGCAAATGAAAGGTAGAAAACAGCAGTTTGTGAATTTAGTAAAGCAGCATTTTCATATGAGAGCCGTATTCATCTACTGTCGTAGAGGGCCTACCTCATTTTTATTATAAGGGGCTACACGGCAACGGAAGTTGACACTGCAATAAGAGGAGAATTGCAAAAATTGTTCGAAGATTCCGGGAAATATAAAGACTGGTGGGGCTTATAACAGCTGGCAGACCGAAAAATTGAGTTTTTCAAATGAATCTGAATCAGCAAAATTTTAACGGCTAGTGTTTTTTGGAGTTTATCAGGTTTATCTGAGAACGCAGAACCCTAATTACAGCTAATGGACTGGGAAGAATTATAGCACTGGCCTGTCCTCATCTCCTAATTCCTCTACTGTTGGCACTGATGTGCCAACAATAGAGGTGCACCATGCTGGGCTTGAAAAATCCGGCTTGAGAGGGCAGGTGCCAATGCTTGCATCTCTCCATTACGCTTGATCGTGGCCCTAAAATCAAGCATTATCAATAGAGGAGATCTGCATTTCTGTGAAAAATAATTGCAGACAGATCTAATGTCCTCCTTACTGTCGGTCAGGGTGTCCTAACGGAAAACGATGATCCATTTTGCAGCTCGGCTGTTTTCTCTTGGGTCTGTCTGCTTGCATTCGCCGTACGTCCTGCAAAACAAAGCGGTTGCCTACCATGGTAGTTTTCATTAGGACGAGGCTCCTGTGTGCTTACCACTGGCAGCATGAAAGATCCAACCAGGTCTTTGCTGCCTGCTGCTGTCCACCTCGTTGACAGACTTTCCAGCCTACAGTGAAAATTCAGACTGTTGCATAATTACACTCCTAGACATTCCAAGTTGGGCTAGATGGGCGTTCACACTGAAGTTAGTGTCGTCCTCACCGCAAGTTGAGCTGTAGCCTTGAGTCTCGCTGTTTGGTGACTTTTCTGTGACTCCGACATTGCCACCGGCTAAAGTTCCTTGCCCTCTTTTGAGATAGGCATGCCATGACCAGCTTGATTAGGCCCTAAAATGGATCATTCTCATGAGGAGAGATCTGTATTTCTGTGAAAAATGATTGCGGACAGATCTAATGTCCTCCTTACTGTCGGTCAGGGTGTCCTAACGGAAAACGATGATCCATTTTGCAGCTCGGCTGTTTTCTCTCGGGTCTGTCTGCTTGCATTCGCCATACGTCCTGCAAAACAAAGCGGTTGCCTACCATGGTAGTTTTCATTAGGACGAGGCTCCTGTGTGCTTACCACTGGCAGCATGAAAGATCCAACCAGGTCTTTGCTGCCTGCTGCTGTCCACCTCGTTGACAGACTTTCCAACCTACAGTGAAAATTCAGACTGTTGCATAATTACATTCCTAGACATTCCAAGCTGGGCTAGATGGGCGTTCACACTGAAGTTAGTGTCGTCCTCACCGCAAGTTGAGCTGTAGCCTTGAATCTCGCTGTTTTGTGACTTTTCTGTGACTCCGACATTGCCACCGGCTAAAGTTACTTGCCCTCTTTTGAGATAGGCATGCCATGACCAGCTTGATTAGGCCCTAAAATGGAACATTCTCATGAGGAGAGATCTGTATTTCTGTGAAAAATGATTGCGGACAGATCTAATGTCCTCCTTACTGTCGGTCAGGGTGTCCGAACGGAAAACGATGATCCATTTTGCAGCTCGGCTGTTTTCTTTTGGGTCTGTCTGCTTGCATTCGCCGTACGTCCTGCAAAACAAAGCGGTTATTGCCTACCATGGTAGTTTTCATTAGGACGAGGCTTTTGTGTGCTTACCACTGGCAGCATGAAAGATCCAACCAGGTCTTTGCTGCCTGTTGCTGTCCGCCTCGTTGACAGACTTGCCAACCTACAGTGACAATTCAGATGGTTGCATAATTACATTCCTAGACATTCCAAGTTGGGCTGGATGGGCGTTCACACTGAACTTAGTGTCGTCCTCACCGCAAGTTGAGCTGTAGCCTTGAGTCTCGCTGTTTGGTGACTTTTCTGTGACTCCGACATTGCCACCGGCTAAGTTCCTTGCCCTCTTTTGAGATAGGCATGCCATGACCAGCTTGATTAGGCCCTAAAATGGAACATTCTCATGAGGAGAGATCTGCATTTCTGTGAAAAATGATTGCAGACAGATCTAACTTCCTCCTTACTGTCGGTCAGGGTGTCCTAATGGAAAATGGTGAACCATTTTGCAGCTCGGCTGTTTTCTCTTGGGTCTGTCTGCTTGCATTCGCCGTACGTCCTGCAAAACAAAGCGGTTGCGTACCATGCAAGGCTGTATTAGGACCAGGGTGTAAGATAGACAGGTGGGGAAACGAGAGCCAAATGAGCGACCGGATTGTGTACCCCTCGGTTTTCTCTTTTTCTGTGTGCCATCGATGTGGAGCACCGCAAACTCTCACTCCAGGTGGGCGACCGGTGGCGACTGGCTAAACTGACGGAGATGGTTTCTCGTGGATTTTCAATAAAGACTGTCGTGCTCTCTGTTTGTTTTGCGCACTCTCCCATAAAGTTCCATGCAAATCCGATTCCGATTTTTTCCTCTCGCCGCAGCGCCATCTGTTGCAAATCGGGGGTACCCACAAGCAGACGAGTACACAATCCGGTCACGGCGCTGCGGTAGGCTTCTATGGGCCGTTTCCCCACCTGCTTATCCTGCACCCTGATTAGGACCAAGGTCCTGTGTGCTTACCTGCGGCAGCATGGAAGTCCCGACCAGAAATTTGATGCCGTTACTGGGGACTCTGGCCGAACCTGGACATTCGTGCTGCCACAAGTTCCTCTTTTGGAGGCCTTGTGTAGGCTGCAGTCATCGGTGCCGGGAAGACGACGGTGTTGGCCTTCGATGCAGCAGCCAGGGACCACCACTGTTTGCTGCTCTCCATTGCCTCCTTGATGAGCTTTCCAACATACTCTAGAATTCAAACCTTTGCATGATAACATTCCTAGGCTCTCTGGACAAGGCACTCACACTGCAGTTAGTGTTATACTCACTGTAAGTGGGATCCGTAATCTCTGGTCGTGCTGTGTGGTGGCCCTTTCGTGCTTTTGATGTTACGACCGACCAACGTGGCTTGTCCTCTCGTGTGACGGCTTGGCAGCGGTTTGAGTTTTCGTTGAAATGGAGGATCGCAAGTCGAGTCCTGCAAGATGGTTACATTTCAGTGATGGTAAAGTGTGCCACTTACAAAGAGTGGTTATTCTGGCATCAATCCAATTCCATTATCTGATCATTAGGAAGAGACTGTCAGGTTTGTCGCATTGTAACCAATGGACTGGATGAAAGTGTCCAAACAAAGGAAATGTGATTGTAAATTGGTTGACTTACTTTGCAAGCATGCCTTCTGGGCTGAAAGCCTGGGACTTCGGGGCAAAGTCTATCAGGACGCTGTGGAACGCCTCCAAAGCATATGTCTGGCCATGTGGAGACATCTGTGCAAGGTCCTTCAGGAGCAGTTTGTTGCCAGTGATGCTCTTGAATTGGTTGTAGGCCTGCGAGTCTGAGGATGATACATGTTTTAGAAAAACCACCTTCATTTGGAAGAACAAAAACATACTGGGATCCATTCATGGTCGTGTTGGCTCTGGCATGTCACCATGGAGGCACCTTCCATAGGTTCCTTCGTGCCCCGAGTGTTTGTTGATGACATGGTTGTGCATGCTGAGCCAGATGTCGATGAGCAGTTTCTCGTCGCCTCCTGCAGCCCTTGCTGACCAGTACATATGGTTTGTAGCTGTCTGGATCCAGATTTGCAGGTCTTGGCATCCAGCCCGTTTGCTTGCTGCTGTCAGCTTCTTTTTCACACCTAAAATTCAGAGTCGTGTCAGGGAAACCTGCAGCGTGATCGCTGGAAAATAAAAGCTACACGAATGGCCTGTTAGGATTGCTTACTTTTGGAGATGTGCCATATGTCAAAGAAGTGGTCAATCCCGGGTTCGCGCGTCTTCATGTGCTTTCGTGTGGCAGGGTGACGGTCAGTCACCAACGATCGGATCTTGATACCTGCACCATTAGGTTTCCGAAGATAGCAAAAGAATAAGTGATTATGCCAATTTGAACAGAGTGCCTGAAAGGCCGCCGAGTAGTGATATACACGAACTAAGCATGAACATACCTTTCTTCTTGAAGAATTGCAGCTGCTTGAGGAGGCCCTCCTTCTCCATGTTGACACTGGCCATGGCCTGTTCAGACTAAAAAAAGGTGTGAAATGAATATTTTACCAAAATAGTGCATAGCAGTGAAGTAACTGATGACATAACACAAGAGAAAGATTATGAGATTGTTGCAACTGGTTCACGTAAATCTGACTACTTGCCTCTTTTAGCTGGACCTGGACAGAGTGTAGAATCTTGTTGATTTGCTCGACATGGACTGTGTACGTCAGGTACTTGGCACAGAACCCAGGGGAGTCAAATCTCCCGTCAGCAGAGATGTCCACCTCTTTGTTCTGCAACTCGTTGAGAAGTTCTTGTTGCTCTTGCAGCCAGACCTGCTCATGCAGATAAATATTGCTTTAGAAAGGCATGGAGCATACTACAATAGTCCCATCTGTTTATATATGCATAGTGTAGTGTTGTAGAATGAATGACTGAGTGAAAGAAAAAGGAAAGCACAATGCAGCGAGTTTGAATGTGACTTAGATTGTGCTCTTTTGTGATTTGTGTTTTTATGTTTGTGTATTTCATAAAAGAGGCAGCAGGCCACCCGTTACCTCGAAGCTGCCCTACCCTTTTCCATTCTAACAACCACCCTCTGTCTCTTGACTCTCACGGGGAACCTGACTCACTCAACCCAATGCCAGACAGGGAACTGCCCCAGGATACTACACATAGCAGAAATAAATTGAAGTATCCTGGATTTAGTAGCCCATGGCACATATGTAACATGATGTATAAAATTTTATCTCTTAGCACTATACCATTGAAGTGGCATACTACAAGAAGATATTTATTCATTTAACCGAAGTGTGACTGGGGCTCCAGTTTTGTACCTCATTGGAAAATTGGGTATATGGGAAAAAAATGCAGCTGCAGTGTCCCGGAATATTGCTCACCTTGTGGATTGCAGGTAGAGCGAAGGCCTTCCGATGCTCGTAGAAGCTCGAGTCGGAGATGACCTGCACGTTCATATGGCGTAGCATCCGCAGCGTAGGGGCAATCTTCACTCCAGAGAAGACCAGGTGGCTGGTCAGCAGTATGTTCCCTGCTGGTCTGCCGTTGACGATGGGCTGGCTTTTCCATGTGCGCACGTGCTCCACAGGGCAGATGCTGTAGACTGTGATCCGTGTGCCGGTAGTTTCGATCGTTGTTTGGCACAGTCTTGAGCACTCTTGGCACGTCTTGAAAAGCTCCCTTAGGCAGCTCTCGAACACCAGAAACTGGCGCTCTTCTTCTGGTGGTGGTGGTGGAGCTGATGCACCATGCTCGATTCTGAAATGGGATCATGTGAAGCATTCTTTACAGATTCTATGTGTTTATATGCACAACTTACCTCTCGTATTCCTCGCTGTGAGACGGAGAGTAGGTTGCGTCAGAGTCTGGCATGTTGCTGGGAACAGGAGATGTGCATTCATATGGCACCCCACTGCTACAAGTGGAGAAGGCAGACTCGGGTGGATGCGACTGTGCAGGCACGTCTGCGACAGGGACAGGTGGCACCACTGCAGGGATGTTTGTCTCAGCAGTACAGTCCCTGAGGGTCATTTCTGCCTCGCAGGGTGCAGGCAGTCCAGTTGCCGAGGCCTGAGTCTGCAAAGGGCACTGTTTATTACACATTTCATATTTTTAAGGTTGAAGGGTGCAACTCGAGCACTCCACACAATGCCGCCACCGCGGCAAACATCCATGATGCCTTGTTTTTTAGCTGATGGCAAACACCCATAAATTGTTTTGTAGCCTTTCCATAGCTTAGAATTTCATGCACTCAGCCAAAGCTCTCACTGTAATACAAATCTAAAGGATGCCTCACTCTTTATATTTGTTTTTATAACTTACATCACCATCTATATTTTCAGTCTCTAGCTCAGCAACAATAAATGTTCATGTCGCGATATGATGTCACATTACATACATATGTAAAGCTGCAGCTTGACATGTATTTACCAACCACTGAAGGAAATGCAACCAACGAGCACTTATAGCCGCAAGTGGGAAACATACAGCAACTGCCATGAGTTCTCAGTGTCCAGAAGTGCCACCAAGCAACAAAATCATGGTGTGCATTTGCTATGTGCATACAAATTTGCAAACGCGGGTTTGCACGCAATCGTGGGTGCAGGATTGTGAGAAGAAAAAAAAAACTGAGTTTGCTCACAAGAGTAGATATAAAAGAAAACCTGCTTGTTAGTAGTCACGGACACTTGGAACTTTTCTAACTTGATACGAAAGGGTTCCTGTCTGTAAACAAGCTGGGAAAACATTTATTGACTTCGGGTGGGTCAATAGCGGAGGGGGGTGGTGATGGTGGTACCATTAGAGGCGATTTACGACTCTGTCCTCTTATCTTATTTGTTCATGTTTTCTTTTTACAAATGAGTTCGATCCTGGTGGTGCATGCTGATAGGGTTCTTCGTTTTCGGGTAAAACCCGATAATACCTAATTTTTCTCCCCCGAATAGTTCTGATGAAAATCAGGTTAAACCCGATTTCTCCCCGAAAAGCAGCGTTGAAATCACCTGACTTGATAGAAAATATGAACCATTCTGGATCTGTTTAAACGGTGTTTCCTTGGTCATCAGTTGATGGTTACAATTTCTTTCGATTTGCGTGAGTTCCGCAAAGATTCACTTCAGAGCCGATCAGAAGGTAGAAACATATCCTATGCCTATATAATATATTTTGTTTACTTTTGTTCACTTTTGTTCATGTAAATAACACATTGCACATATTTGTAATTGATAAAGAAATCCCGAAAAAAAATCCGAATTTAGGAATGGTTTCTGGAAAAACCCGATTTCTTCCCGATTATCGCCCGGAAAAATAGCGCCTGATTTTTACGCCCCGATTTTTGAAAAATATAAAACCCGAAAATGAAGAACCCCATGCACCGCACCATTCGCGCGATAAGCTCTCGAACCGCTAGTCCGGAACATTAGGCACCACTGATGCCATGTGGATTCCCATGTTACACAAATGCCTCCTCAGTTCTTAGTTCAGAATATAGATACCAGAAGCAGCCGCACTGCGCAACGCAGAATGCCATGTTCGTGACACTCCCAAAAATATTTGAGCCATCGAAAAACTCACCACGACTTTTTGGCGCTTTGGGGGAGGATCGTCGGTCTCATCGGCGACGGGAAGCAGAAGCGTCGGCACAGCATCTGATCGAAGACGGGAACGACGCAGGTCGTCCTTTCGGAAAGCAGTCGGCTCGAAATGTTGGGCACAAAAACGGGGAATGAGGGGCAGGTTCTCGATGTCGTGCCCTCGCCCGGCGCAGCGTAACCACGCAGTCCTTCGTGGTTCTTTCTCCGGCAAAGAGAAGAATCGCAAGCCCTTGCGAACGTTCTTTCCAGTTTGATGGCGGCACGTCTTGACGAAACAAACGTTCGGCATTTCAGGGAAATCGCTCACTCAAAGGATAAAAGAAACTACTGCAATACGCAGTCGCATTCCACAGATGACAAGGAAAAGTTTGACTCATTCACGTGGAAGGATCGCAAAGCTGGCTTCGGAGTCGGGATCCACGGGAAGAAGGAACACGTGTGTCGCAAACGCACGCTTGCACACGCCCCGGGAAGCAGACGACCCGACGCGCCGACGCATCACCCCCTAGCAACAAGCTTGTGGGGAGAAAACATAGTTCGCTGGCTTTGGAACGATAATTGCAAACTATGTTTCCCGCACCACAATCAGTTTACGTTTTTCTCAAACTCTAATTTACAACAAGCTTAAAAAGTATTGCAATAATAACGTTCGCATTCACCGCGAGATGCAGCATTTCCATTGGTCAAGTTTTAGCGATGGCCAGGGAATGGGCGATTGTCTTTCAAGAGAAAATAGTAACGATATATTTCTACTGCCATTTACTTAATAAACGGTTTTGTACTCTAAAACTTTGTATACATATTAACTTGCACCTACTACGCAATATAACAACATAAACAGACGATCGCAGAAAGCTCCGGAGGGCACCTTTAACTATCAAAAACAGAAGAAGGAAAAAGAGCTACGACGCCAATTGAATTTCTTTTTGATCGAGGAAAGCGCGAAACCGGGTGAGTTTGTACAAAAGATAAGGGATATCACGAACCAACTTGAAGTGATCGACTGTGAAAGATACAGAGGGGCTATTGTACGTGCGCGGTCCCAGAGGCTATGGTTGGGCGAAAGACCTTCGAAGCGAGCACTGAGCGACGAGAAAAGGTATGCGCAGCGAAACGAAATAAAAGAAATTTGCTACGGAAATACGATAACTCGCGATAAGAAAACGATCGAGCGAGCGTTCGTTGAATATTTTAACGATTTGATGGGTCACAGCCTAGCAAGAGATAACGGTTTTGACACCGAGTTTTTGTCGCTTATGCCCACGCTTGAAGAGAATGTTCGAGAAAGTTTAGAATCGCCGATCAGCGTCCGCAAGCTTGAAGATGCCATAGACGAATTAACTGCCGGAAAAACGCCCGGGCCGGATGGTCTCAGTGCCGAATTTTATAAAACATTTAAGAGGGAGGCAGCGGACGCTTTGCACGAGGTAGTCACAGAAGCGTATTCCATAAATAAGTTACCGCCATCCTTTTTGAAAAGCCATGTTGTCCTCATTCCTAAGGTCGATGACCCTGTAAAACTATTGTCTGTTTCCTCTTATAGGCCAATAAGTCTGACTAATGTCGACTACAAAATTTACACAAAAGTCCTGGCTAGACGTTTGCAAAATGTTATAAAACACCTTGTGGGACCGCATCAGACCTGCGGTATTAAAGGCCGCACCATTTTAACTAACATACATATTGTAAGGAGCATTCTAAAATATTGTGATGCCTCTGACAGACGAGTTGCTATGTTGCAGCTAGACCTGGAGAAAGCATTCGATCGTGTGTCGCATGAGGTTCTTTTTCTTAATTTGGAGCATGCTAATGTAGGGTCTGTGATATTAGACGGTTTAAAAATGGTGTACGCAAACTGTTCGATGTCCATCATTGTAAATAAGAACGTCAGTGAAAGTGTGCAGGTTCGATCTTCTGTAAGACAGGGATGTCCACTGTCTCCCTTGCTGTTTGCAATTTACTTGGAACCATTTTGTTTAAAACTGATTAACAGTGATAGTATACATGGTTTTAGGTTACACTCTTGCGAAGTAAAAGTGCTTTCTTATGCAGACGACGTTGCTGTTTTTTGTGTAGACCAAGACAGCGTTCGTGAGGTAATCAGCACTGCTTCCTCCTTCTGTAAGAAAACAGGTAGTGCTATCAACTGGGGCAAAAGCGTAGGTCTCTGGCATGGTAATTGGGCTACCGCACCCGGTAACTTTGTGAATGTTCAGTGGACAAATTTACCTGCGAAGTACCTCGGGGTGCCACTGCAGCACTACCGCGATAGCAAGCAACTATGGAGTGAAGAGACGGAGAAGGTTAAGACTAAAGCGGAGAGCTGGAGGGGTAGGGACTTCTCCATGTTTGCACGCGCTACCGTTTGTAATTTATTTTAACTGCGAAAATTTGGTACATCTTGCAAGTGCTGTGTATGCCGCGCCTCAACGTGCAAAGACTGCACAGAGTTTTCGCTGTTTTCATCTGGAATTCGAGCTGGGAGCGTTCTGCTCGTACAAATTTGTTACGATCTGTTGGTAATGGTGGTCTAGGATTGTCCCATTTGTTTCTAAGACAAATTGTGTCTAGGTTCATGTTTTTACGCGATCAGAAAGATTCATTTTTGCGTACTGTTATGTAAGTGCGACTGCAGTATGCACTCCCTGAGTTTGTGGTGTCATCTAGTAGTCAAATGCGATCCAGTGTACAAGGTTATTTGCGTGAAGTTGTGCTTTCTTTCAGAATACTCAAGGTGCGCTTTTCCTTAGAGTATCTTAGTTCAGTTACCCGAAAACGATTGTATAAAGCTTTAATAGATGTACTGTTGCCAATACCTCTCTATAAGTCATTATACTGTGAACGTGCAGGGCTAGATGTGCTTAAAAGAGTAAAGAAAATGCCAATCAAATCTTCGGTAAAATCTTTTTTCTTTAAATTGCACTGCGGCGTACTCCCTCTAAAGGCGTGGCTGGAACAGAAAGGTATACTTGTACCGTGGTCAGTGAATTGTATCCTCTGCAAAAAACCCGAGACGATAGAGCACGCATTTATTGAGTGTTGGGACGCCGTGTTTCATTGGGACATTCTTCAGCGCACACTGAAAAAAGATCTACCTATAACTGCGCACGGCATGCGCTTTTTGCCCCTGGAAAACGAGGGGGGAGTCCCTTACGATATGTTCATGCTCCTCGGCCTCCACAGTTTCTGGAGGACAAGAATGAGTGTTAATAATGCTGATGTTAATACCAAAACTGTAAGAGAAAATTTCATTGAAAGTGTGGCATATATTCGCGAGGTATACCGTGCACTCCCTGAACCCCCTGAATGGTTGCCAATACTGGATGAGTTGGTATGTTTAAAAAGGTTTTAATGTGCTGGCAACCGCCGCTAAGTGCTGATTCGCTCTTGAAAAAACTGTACGTATGTGAATGACTGTGTGCTTTTTCATTTTGTCTTAACCGTAAATAAAGAAAAAAAAAGGAGTGGTGTAGTGGTTAGCACACCCGACCGGACATTGGGAGGCCCAGAGTTCAAATCCTGGCTCCGCCGTTTTTTGGCTTTCGGCGGGTTCCTGGAAACTTGGATTATTTAATTCATTGGATTAAGTACGGTTCATTCATCTGCACAATTTCGTTTATATCCTCCTCGGAGACCACGTACGATGGTGTGAAGTGCCCGTGTTGTGTATATATATATATATATGTCTATATATATAAAGAGAGAGAGAGAGAAAGATAAACATATTTTACACACACGGGCACGCCAACATACATTTTTCAGCTCCGCAGGTTAAAGACAGCAGCGTGAAATATAATGGGTCACAGTAAAGAAAAAAATCTGGATAAAACGAATCAGCAAAAAGATGCATGTGAAGACCCCTATTACAGGGAGTACGATGTTAAATTTAAAAAAGTATAAAACGAATAAAAATTTAAAACGCCGAAATAAGTTTGAGACCGCAACTTTATTTTGTGATTTGAATAGCATTTGTTTTTTATTCGTTTATACACTATTTTTTAATTTTACTTCGTAATCCTCGTAAATGAGGTCTTCCCGTTAATTTTTTGGGGTATTAGTTTTATCCTCATATTTTGGAACTCACTAACCTTTATCACAAGCCGTTTCGATTGAATACATACAAAAACGAATGATTAGAATTGTGTGTGGCCGTTTATGTGCAAGCAAATATGTTCACCATAATGAAACCTGTCGTGTTCTATTTGCATTGCACAAGCTTGCCGTGCCGAGGCAATAGAGATATATTTTATATTTCTTCACAAAGCTGTACGCGGGGAAGTGAATTCAATTGAATCGTCGCGTTTTTTACAATTTCATGGTCCGTCAAGGGTTAGGAGGAATGTGTTAACTTTTTACCCATCTTGTATGTTTCCGGCGTCAGCTTTATCGAGGATTCAATTAGCATGTAATAAGGTCCACCTTGACATATTTCTTTGTTCTTACCAGTTTATGTTTCATGTGCGAAGGTGGATGTCTTCGAACTTATTGTAAGGCCGGTTTTGTGTAGTTTTGCAGTTTCTGTTATATATTGTTTATATTTTTATTTTAACGTGTATTTTACTATTTTATATAGTGCCCGCAAACTTGCTACAGTTTGCGGGCACGTAAAAATAAAAGAATATATAGGTATAAGTGTCAGCTGGAAAGTAAACACAAACACAAAGGATAGAAAGGGTCATACAAACCGCTTATACCTGACATGTACCAACTAGCTCAACTTGAGACTGTCACTGAAATAAAAATATATTAATTAATTTAATATTATTAAAAAAGAAGAGGACATACAAATATCTGCAAAAAATTCGTTAGAAAGCACACTAGAACTAGTCTATAAATATGATAGCATAAATGGCGAGCAAGATAAGACAAAATAAAATACTTGCAAGTGCAGTCGACGCACACAAAAACACAACTGTAAAATTGACTGATAGCGATAAAAAGGTCAAAAGTTACACAACATTAATAATAATAATAATGATAATAATAATAATAATAATAATAATAATGATGATGATGATGATGATAATGATGACGACGATTGATGATTGAGGTTTTATGGCGCAAGAGGGCTGTGGAAGAGGGAAAGCTCAAGGCGTCTTGGACTAAGGAATCTTCCCCATCGCTTTCTCGTAATAAAGATGTTTATTCTCTCTCAACTTAGACCATATTGCGCCAAACAAGAATGGTAACTGCAAAAAAAAAAGTTTTTTTTTTTTTAACAGCCTAATTGGGACAAG